CCCCCGCTTCGGCTGCAGCGTAGCTGCGGCGCGTCCACTTGTTGTTGTTATTATTGTCGTTGTCATTGTTGGTTTTGATTATTAATGCTTGGTTCTTGGTTTCGAAGGTCCTTTTTCTTATACCTCCTGTTTTAGCCAATCATCCATACCCCTCACGAAGGTCAGAACAACTGTTGATAATTCGGTCTGGTAGTCTGGTAATGATTTGCAGGTTGATAACTATCCCTTCCCTCCTACTGAGATAGACCGCTTCTGAACCCTGTGATAATACCCTGCCCGCCATGAGCCAGGGTATGGCACCCTAATCAGCACACTCCCCATGAGGATGCCCATTGCCCTCCTTGATGGTGCCTTCACGGAGTGGTGGTCCCCGTAGGGTGGACCAAGCCCTCTAATCCCTTACCACTTCCCTGCACCCAAGACCCAGAGTAGGGCATACCCCCAATCTGCCACTACTCCCCTGAAACAGATATCTGCCTCCATGATGATGCCTCGCAGGGCAGTGGTCCCCAAGCGGTCCCCTCCGAACTATCCCCCTTGCCGCTACCCCTCTCACCCCAGAGAAGGACACTATCCCCCAGCTAATCCACTCCTATGATCCCTGAACAATCCCTGTTTTGGTAAATCCTCATTGACCAGTGTTCCCTGATCTGCGCTGAACCCCTAGCCCATCTAGGTCTCATCTGAGTAATCTCCCATTCCGCACAGCAGCATTGGATGGTGTTGGTTAGGGCCTCTCTGCACCACCTTCAACAAGGGTTTTGAGAGCTGAGGCATGACCACACAACCTCAGGCTGTCGAAACTGACCAAATCTTTTTTTGAGGGTGTCAGGAAATGTTTTTATTGTTCTGGAGTCCTCAAGCCTGCACAGCAGCCCTTGTTTCAGAAGTGCTGAGCTGTCCTCTCACCTTAAACCACCAGTACTTCTGAAACACTTTCTTGCGGGGGCTGGAACGCCTTGCAAGCCAACAAAAAAAAATGAACCAACGCACGCCTCCTTCTTTGGCTGGTACCGCTAGGCATTGGCTCCGGAGGCCGAGCCCCGAAAGTTGCCGCAGCGTGCAAGCCGCAACTCTGAAAAAGTAGCTGGGAAACGTACTGGTGGTTCCATAGTAGCACCCAGAAGGGTATGTCAGTCCGTCTAGGGACTTCTGTTTCTTCCCAACAAGCCTTTGGAAGCTTGCCACCTAAACCACACAGTACGTTTCACAGAAAACTTGTTTTGACGCGGCTGTGCACTGGCCCTGACTTTCAGGGCTTGGCCTGCCGGATTAGAAGGCTGTGCACACCAGCCAAGCAAATAGAATTTTGTGCCTGCCCCAGTTTGGTGATGAGGTGGTGGTGGTTGAGTAGGCACACTTTCAGCAGCAGCAGCTAGGATGCAGGCCATCACCCCTTGCAGCCTCTTTGACAACATTTGTGTTTTGCCTGTTGCTGCTGGCCTGGTTTCCAGCTGAATTGCAGTATCCACATCTCATTCAGGAGCTGCCATTTGCGTAGCAATAACAAGGGAAGGCGATCCAGCTGCATATGGCACTGTGGAGGGCTGGTGCTGCCCGTATCCAGGATTGACGTTCGGAAGTGGGTGAGGGCCCACTGCGTGTGGCTCTGTGGAGGGCTGATGCTGCTTCTGCACAGAGTTAACATTCCGCAGTGGGTGAGCAATTGACCAGCGCGCCATGCGCGGCGAAACCAGTTCATAAGCCAGGTGAAATGAGTGGGTAGCCAGTGCTGCTGGCCATGCACGTATGCAGTCCAACCTCTGGCCAGGACACAACGAGGATGACCCCTGACAACCATACGTTGTGTCAAGGAAGGCATTGCAGCTTTGATGTCGATATCGGTCTGTTTGATAAGGTGGATATCATTGTTACCAATATGCTCAAGTGGTATCAGCTGTGTCGTGAGTACACTTGCGAACTGACGATCTAGGCACTTGAAGGAAGCACTGGGATAGCGTATGACGGGAAATGTCCAAACCTCAGCCTTATCAAACAGACGAATGCGAAGTGAGCTGTCTGGCTGAATCAAGATTCTTGTCCCAAGGAAGTGACATCACCATCTTGCTCAGTAGTGTCTTTCCACTCAAGACCATCATATTGAGGCGAGCGTGCGAAGATTTCTTCCTAGATAGGATGTCATCAATGAAGGATGTGTGAATGCATACGCTCGAGTTTCACGTAGGTCTTGCTGACGAAGTTGAATTGTGCCTTGTCCCGATTGAAGCCTTGGATTGGAAATTTGTTGTCCAACGTGCCATAGGTGTCCATAGGGATGCCAACCACCTGATGGCGCAAAGTGCCATGGATGCTGACCACCTGATGGCGCAAAGTGTCATCCCCTGTATAGAGATAAGTGTTAGAGACCAGAAAACGTAGGTGCTGTTCTATATTTGACACTAAGAGAGTGTCAAAGCGATGTTGTTCATGAAGCACACGATTTTGCGTTGGCACGGCTTCCCCAGCACAGGAGGCCAGTACACGTGTACATGACTGTAGGAGGTCCTCATTGCTGGGAGTGGGTTACGTCAGAACCCACTCCCAGCAATGAGGACCTCCTGCAGTCATGTACACGTGTACTGGCCTCCTGTGCTGTCATAACCCACTCCCATCAATGAGGATCACCTGCAGTCATGTACACGTGTACAGGCCTCCTGTGCTGGGGAAGGAGTGCCATATCGCGTGCTT